CATTTTATGCTACTTCATTCTTCAACCCTAAATATAGTTTTTACTCCACTGCATGAATCTGGGCTGTAGTAACTTGGCACTTTGCAGGCTTAGATTTTACATATAAACACGACACAAAATGGTTAAGAAAAAAGAAAGAAACAGAAAAAGGAATGATGTTCCCAATTGTGTTCGTATTACGCTGAAAATGCTATTACCGCCCACCCTGTGTCTGTGTGCAGCCCCGTGCCAGCCACATAACGGGTCTCCTACTGTGTTTAATAATTCGAGAGCACCTCTAAAGCGAAGACAGATGGGCCAGCGGTGGCGATCACGTAGACGCCGCACTGTGACCCAGCAGCAAGAAAATAAGAAAATCCCAGCTCTACCTGCAAGCAGCTGGAAGTTGAGCATCCAGGAGGAGCTGCAGTGATGAGCATGCCCTTCTCAACGCTGCACACTGACAAAGACACAAGACAGGGGCCGCTCAATAAAAGAGCCGCCTGTTAACATTTAACAAAGTCCTCCACACTAGCTTGGCTTTACAATCAGATGTTTTTATGAGGAGGAGTTTTAACTGTGCCCATTTTCAACACTTTCTTACACTTTGTTGACATTCAGCTCCAGTGTTTCCTCTCATTTTTTATCACCCAACATCCAATTGAGCCTTGTTTGGAAAAGGACAACAAAGAGCAATATGAAACACAAATAGATATCCAAAGAAACGGCAGTCTTGTTGGGGTAATGCTTGTGATAACATTTCAATCTAAATGCAGATTTGAGGTGGCGATGGAATTGGGGGCCCTCACTAGTTAAAATTTATCACCGTGATGGAAGAGAGTAACGTTTGGTTTCTGCTTTTGTGTTTGTTTTATTTTAACCTGGTCTCTTTCACAAATCTAAATCTAATCTCAAGAAAGAATCTGTGTGATTCCATGTGATTTAGTTGTGAAAATGACTTCACCAGCCGGCAAACAAAGATAAACATTTGTCTAAATAAAGTGGACGGAGAGAGTGAGAGGGGGGAGGTGGGAATGAGATTGCGATTGTGAAGGTTGGTTGGCTTCAATTGTGGCACTGTCTTGCTGTTGGGCAACATAAGTAACGAAATGTTACCTAAATGGTGCTCGCCCGGGTGGAACTTGGTGGGAAACTGGCAAGCACATTAAACATTATTGATGCCTCCAAGCTGAAGAAGATTTGCCTGTTTTTATTCCATGCAAGGTCTCTGCAAGGTGTTAGAAATTGCGTTTTTTCTTCTTGGTCCGCACACAGGGACAGGCACATGCATGACTCTGTGGTAAACAAAGATGAGTGCCACATCCTCCAGGGGGAGAAAGCAGAGAGAGGAGAAAGCAGAGAGACTGACAGTATAGGGAGTGGAGTCTGATCGGTTCTGAGTGAGTGAGTTTAGAGAGAGAGAGAGAGAGAGAGAGAGAGAGTGTGTGTGTGTGTGTGTGTGTGTGTGTGTGTGTCTGTGTGTGTGTGTGTGTGAGCATGTGCCACCATGTCAGTCTTAACACACACCTCCCGAAACACAATAATGCATCACTACTTTTTCCATCTTCTCCTCTTGACTCCTTTTCCACGTTGCATCACTCCAATTCCTTCTTTCTTTACACATGTCTCCACCTTTTTCACTTCCATTTGTGTTGTCCCTCACTCGCCTCCTCTCACCGCTCTCACTCCTGCACCGTGTTATGCTGGAGTCAATTGTGCTTGTTCATCTTTTCCATTCCCTGTTTTGCCCCCGTCAGTGTGAGAAAAAAAAGCACAGTGCCGCTTCTTTCAGGTAAAACGTATTTAATAGCGAATAACTTTTCATCTACCCCTACTCCCATTGCAGAGAATATTGCAACACTGGCCTTGAGGAACACAATCTGTGTTCAAAGAGACCGTTTGTGTTCAGCAATGTCATATAACTCACAAAGTGTCATTTTAACCTGCAGTTTCTGTGGGATTTTGAATATTTTTCTTTTGTCTTTTAAAATAAAATTTTATAAAAACATACTATATTTATTTAAGAAAGTGCATACTTGACCAACATTATAAATAACATCCTATTAATATTATAAAATATGCATTGGCCTATTTGCTTTCTAGTTAAATGTTGAACAACACCACTCTCATGTCTGGTAAGCATAAAAACGGAAAGCAGTAAGACAGCTAGTCTCAAATCACTGATTCTGTCAAATTGTACCAAATCTGCACTTCTTAAGACAACACATCTTTATTTAATTTGTGACAAAGAAAGTGTGAAAATGAAAAAAATTTAAAAATGAGGTGCTCAACCATGGACTGTATATAAAGATAGGCGATGCGTCCCCACTTCCTCCCAATATCTAGAAATGAAGCAAGAATATCTCAGATGCCATCTTTCTCATTCGGAGCTAGAGTCAGTGCAGGAGTGAGCAGGAGATGAAGCCACAGTATCAAGGTCCCGGTGATACATGCACTCAACAATTCGTGATGTCAGTCTCAGCTGTCAATCAATGACATTTCACTCTGTTTTTGCAGCATCACATAACTAACTAACCAGCTTTAGTGGAGAAAGAGCACTTCAACATAAGTCTGTGTGATAAGAATCACATAAAAGGATAGAAACCTCCAGCTGAGCTCCACTGGATCTATAGTGTTGTCTCACCTAGTTCAGCAAATGTGTATTTCACAAAGTTTAATAAAGCCTTACTATAATATACATATCAGATGTTGGTTAGCATTTGCTCACAGGTGGACATTTCCCAACATTTGGCCTAATATAGCAAACTAGCTGGTGAATGGGTTTTATTTCTCAGTTGAGAGATTCTGTCAATCTTCTCATGTAGTTTTCCAAAAAGAAAATTCTTATACACAAGTAACATAATCCTTCAGAAACTGTCTTGATCACAGTTCTTAGTGACCCAAAGTGCTTTGCTCATTTATTCCTCACCTCCCCTCTCTTCTGCTCTTATCCCGCTGCCTTTGAAAGCCTGATGTTTTTCCACGGGTCGTCTCACTCAACGGGCTTAACTCTATCTAAGAGGCCAATTCAAAGCACAGGCCCTGTTTGATGCAAGCATGCGGAGCGACACAGATCAGTAGATCAGAGACATTGTCTCAGACGATGACAGTGGGAGAAGCAGAGAAGTGGGTATTTATATGCCTTTATGTGACCAAGGGGAAAATTTTATGTGAGGGTTGATGTTAAGGTATCAGGGAAGAGGCACTCAACCTTTTAGCTTGACGACTGCAGGAATGAGCAATGACAGGCATTCATGCATCTGCTATTTGTATGTGTTCAAAGGCACAGTGACTATCCTGTGAGTGTGGGCCTGTGTGTGTGTGGCAAAATGTGATGGCAGTCAAAGACGAGGAAAGTCATCCAAAGTTGAATCATGAAGCGGCTCAGAGAAAAATCGAATCTTGAAAATAAAACAAACATGCATTGTATCTTTATACAAAAGCTAAACATGAAACAAAAATGAGATGAAAAATTGTTGGATGAGAGGAAGAGCTGAGTTGAAATCATCATTTGAAAGCCGGCAGGCGGTCGTACTGCGGGAGAGGAGGCAGGAAAAGAGAATAGCAGGAGATGGAGACAGGGATGCCGGAACAGAGAGGCGGACGGAGGGGTTGAGCGACACTCACAGCAGTGTGCCTGTGACTGCTGGAAAGAAATTGTTCCACCAATCTGCCATTTAATTACAGACTGGAGGGGCCACTGCTGTAGCATGTACAAATTTAACATGCATCCAATCAAACAGGCGTGCAGCAGGACCACACACACTGTGTGCACTGTATACTGACACTAATGAAAATAAATCAATCGTCTCAAATCTCTCCACCATTCAACCCTACTGTCTGTCTCACCCACTGATCCTTCATCTTTCTCTCTTTGTTCTCTGTCATGCTTCACTCATTTTTACAGCTTTACATCCTATTGTAAAGCGTTAGCATGGATTAAAAGAGCCAAGCTCTCTGGGAATGCATGTACTGTCACTGGACTTTAGGGCCGATGAGAATTAGTGTCTTATTTTACCAGTTTCCTCAGAAGTAATTCTGTTAGAAAGAAAACAGAGATAACAGATGAGGTTTGACACTTACATCTTGTTACTACATGCGAGTGAACCAGAAGTGTATTTATTCAGATGGAAACCTCCGTGATCTCTGATGTGTTGCGAAACTCCTCCCCTTCACTATTTTTCGGTTCTGAATTGCCACATGTACGTTAATGTAACTTTTGTGGTGGAAGAAAATGGACACAATTAGCCTTTCTCCCATGTCTGCAGTGGCTCTTTTATCCATCCCTAAAGAAAATCATTTCTGTGCTTTGAACACTAGGGGGTTAAGTCCGTGTATGACTCACATGCTGTGCACACTGGATAACCATATACAGCTAAAAACACATGTACTGTACAGATGCTAGCAGCACAAAGATGATAACCTCTATTACTATTGTGTTAGAGTGGAATTCACATTTCATTTTAAATGAACCACCTCTGTCTTTTCAGCCGAGGTGACAGAGGATTATAGTAGGATATTAAGGTTTGACTCTACCGCTGTCAAATGAGTTTTACAGAACAAAATGACAGATTCCTACTCTGAATGCATCACATTCCCCTATGACCATAACCCCTTTCCCTGTCATCAGTGGCATTAATGAAAGGGATTTTTGTATCTCTGTGGTGCTGGTGGAGGTGTTACAAGGCTGCAAAGAGGTGGTTGGTATTGATCCCACAATGTATATCCAGGTGTGATGTATGGTGTTTGAAGCACTTGCCTGCCTCCCACTGTTTAGTAAGAGCAGTAATGGTCCTCTGGATCAATAAGTAATAATCAGAGAGGCACAATGAGCCTCTGTTCTTTCCCTCTTTCTTCACAATCAGGAAGAGCTGTTGGAACAAAAGAACCTAGAAGGAAAACGCATGTTATCTTCTACAAGAAGCAATTACCCAACATATCTTCAACGTAATGAGAAATAACATTCTGTAGCTTCATTTACAAGACAACATTGATTATCTTCTCTCCTCTGCTCTCCTCAGGTGTGACCAGTGCCGATACTGTGGTGAATATGCGCAAAGTGACCCATCAGACCATAAGCGAGGAGCTATCCAAGACAGTTCTCCTCCCCTGCCTCTTCACACTCCGCCCCAGCTCATCCCATGAACCCCCCAGGATCAAGTGGACCAAGGTCTGGGGCCAAAGAGGCTCTGACGGCCTGCAGAAGGAACAGTCCGTCCTGGTGGCCAAGGACAATGTGGTCAAGGTTCGACTAGGATGAGAGCGAAGTGTCTGGCTCAGTGATGATTTAGTTGTTTACAACATTCATTTTCATCATTCCCTTTTCCCCTCTACCCCCCTGTCCTCTCTCAGGTGAAGAAGGCCTTCCAAGGTCGTGTAACGTTGCCTGGTTACAGCATCAATCGCTACAATGCCAGTCTTGCTCTGACTGGGCTGCGTTCCAGTGACTCTGGTTTGTATCGCTGTGAGGTCGTGGTGGGCATCAATGATGAGCAGGACACAGTTCCCCTGGAGGTCACAGGTGAATAACACACACTCTTATACCCTTAGGCAGCCATTTTGAATTTAACTCACACTGGGCTTGGGAAATGTCATGCTCCAAGCATACCTTCACTCAACAGTGTACAGTATTAACAGGAAATGCGTTGATTATGATAAGGTCACAGTGGTTGTTTTGTATAATAAGCACTTTGATAGCTAATAAATCTAATGTGTCATTAATTAATTGAGGTAACACAAAAACAATTAGGCCTGTACACACATAATAAAAGATTTTATGTTAAGAGCACACATCATTGAATATATTATGAAAACTCTTCCTTGTTCAGGCACATTGTGTTTCTCAAAAATGCACAAAAAAAACTGAGATGACAGGGGCACTTCAAGGGCAAATCTGATTTTAGCTGGGCCCAGTGCCACCGTGGTCCCACCCCTGGATCCGCCTGTGATAGATATACCATAACATTTAAATAAAAGTACAGACAAGTGGTGTGATCATTTCATATTCAGGGGGCTCAGTGCTAAGTATGAATGTTTTTACAGTGCTGAAAATGATGACTTTAATCCAGTTCAGTGATCACAGGCCTTGCAGAGTTAGATGGATTGACAAGTCTGATGGGAATGACCTCCTGTACTGCTCCACTGTGGTCAAGGGTGCTGTTAAGCTTGTCAGGTGTTTTTTATTCATTTTCAGTGATTGTCTGTAGTTTTGCCGCCATTGCGTCCATTACCACTTCCTCCTAAGTGCTGAACTTTGATCCAACCACAGACACAGCTTTTTTATTCAGTTTGTTTAATCTGTTAGCTTTGATCCCTGCACCCCAGCACACCACAGCATAGAAGACGGTGCTCGTTTAGGAATGTTAATAGTGGACACTCGTACTCATAAAGCATTACTGTAATATAGAGAGGGAGGAGAAGAGGGCAAGCAGAAAGTACCCTTGTAATCATGATTATAGTCATAGTAATTAACCAGTACTCAGCACCATTTATCTCATTATAAACTGTATGCATGTTTTTACCTGCACATACTATTGTCTGAGCACATCAACACTCCACTCTTTGGTTGTTACAGCTCCCTCGTTTGCTCTCCAGGTCTGCCACTATGAATAATAATGACCCTGGTTTCCATGTCAGACTTAATAAAGCTATTACAGCCAGAGCTGTTGACTGTCCGTGCAGAATGTATGATGATGGGGGAAAAGGTGAGGCAACTAGAACACATTAAACATCATTGACCTGGTGCCACTCAGGTGCTGTTCATGTACTGAAAGCATAATGAAACCAATAAGCTAGGATCCCAGCAGTTTGCGATATTGACAAATAGTGTTACTCCGAGAGCTGTGTATGGCTCTCAGTGCCTTAGCTAAATAGACAACCCATTTAGTGAATTATCCGTATCCAGGACACCCGTTTTTCACCACACCACCAAAGGGCACTTCACTGTAGTGTAACAATAATTACTGTGTCAGAGTATTTTAGCTGCGGAGCTTTCATCAGATTCTTTCCAGGTCACTCACTACTTTTAATAATAAGCTATTATCATAATGACCACAGGGAATCACACAATGCATTAGCCACTATACACAATGCTGCTGCTCGCCACAAATCCATGGTAATGCGAACAGCAGCTGGAGAAAGCCCAGTAGCCTTAGACACAGCACGCTACAATGACTACAGAGTCTGCAATCCAAGGCATAGCCTCTATTCTACTCCCTGGACATGGCTCACATGTGGAAGCATGTCTATGTGTATGCACTGGCACAAGCCTCTGTGTCTGTATAATTTCCATATTTCAGCAGGCATGCTTTCTGGTTGTCTCAGACGGGTGGAGCACCGTAACCCCTCTCCATAAAACACTTTTTTTTTTAAAGATTTAGTAAGCAAGACCCCTGTCACCACGCTTGGTAGACCCCATATTCTCCCCCTTTTGGCCAATCGATTAACGCACAAAGGGAAACCAATTACGAAGCCAGCAAAGAGTAGCAATGTCCAGGGCTTAATCTTAATTGGCAGTCACACTACATGACAGACCGGCGCTGTCTTCACACAAATTCTACTCAGTACTCAACGTATTAATTAGCAGGTATTGATACTGCTCGGCTATATCAATATCATATTAATCCAAACTGCTCTCCTCATAAACTCACTTGTGTGTTTAAGCCGTGGTGAGATGCCCTCTCCTCTTTTTATTTCTCCATCTTACCATCTCTCTGTTTTGTCCGTCGTCCTCTTGGCACATATTGACTGGGTAATTGGCTGCGTCTCACCAATCACAACACAGTGCCATTGATTGTGTGTGTCAGCCATTGTCTGTGGTGAGATATGGCTGCCCACCATTAACTGGTGTGAGGAGAACAGATAGTACATCGGCGCTGGGCGTGGCGAAAAGCTACTGGGATTGTTTGTGCAACCTCTGGGATGTAGCAGACTTTTAGCGTGGGTCTATATAGTTTGTATATAATGATCCACTGTTTTTTTAGTTGGAACAATACAGGCCTCCAGATCAGCGTCAGTGATGCCTCATGTAGACTCCGTAAGTTTCTGGAAATCTTGTATTAAAGAAATTGTTTTAACTTATTTGCTTTCCTATTGTTATTCTCAGTCTCATTCCTGTAAATACAATACAGTCCTGGATTGTTCACTATGTAAGGTTAGGGTGGCTAAAGCAGGAATAACATGTATGAGTTTGAAGGCTTTAAACAGAATGCTGCTCATTCACTTTAAATTGGGTGATGTCATGCATTGTCGAACTGCATTGTGGTTCTGTTGTATTGCTGACAGTGCGTTTGGTAGAAGTTGACACATCGGCCAATCAAACCATGTTTAAAGACTTCAGCGCAGGCGCTAGCCAGTCAATTCAGGTTAATGCAAAAGAGAGGCTGAGGCAGGTGGTGGATCTGGCCACGTGTTTCTCTGATTGTGGATTTTATTTCCCATGTACTTCCCTTTAGCATTGCATATGATTGCCAGCATGGCACACTAGTCTGAAAGCCTGCTATGTTGTGTGTCCCAAGCATGAAACTGTAATTGCTGTAATTATTACGATCGTGCCAGCACCATTGGGCAAGCGTTAACACGATCCATGTGTGTGAGTCCTGTGTAAGGACTGTCAGTAGGGGAATAAGTGAGCCTGTCTCTCCATTATTCACCCACCAGCACCTCAGACCACAGCTTGTTGTGATACAGAAAGGAGATATGGTGCATAGTGACTTGTTGGTTGGCAGATTTTGAAACTTTGGATAGAGGCTCACGAGCAGTTTCACCCTTTTTCAGTCTTAGTGCTAAGCAAAGGCACCTCATATTCATTGTACACGAATATAAGTGGTACAGACCTCCTCATATAACAGAAAGAAGAAAAAAAAAGTTTAGAAACAAATTAAAGTTAACTTAACTTCACATTTTTAATAGTGCGGTGTACCAAGAAATAAGCAACGTTTCCAAGAGGCAAGGGACAGTGACTGCCACAATGAGGGCATCATACAGTCACCAGTGGTGCCTTCCTCTCCCTGGAGACTGTGTGTGGATGCAGAGGGTAAAAATAGTTGGATGAAGAACTGAGTATCTAACCCTCCTGTGGAATGCGACCATACTAAAAGGAAGCCAATTTGTCTCTCTGGTGTATGAATTAGCCAGCGAGCTGTAGAGTCTCTGTTTGAACAAGATCCCAGAGCCACAAAGGAAAAAGGATGGAAACCGAGAAATTAGGTTGAAAGAGATGGAAGGAAACATTTTCTGCTCCACATGTAAGGATAAGACTAAGATGACAGACTGGTTGGAACTGTGTCTGTGTGAGTATGTCACACAAACACACAAGGCCCTGCTTGCTTTTTGTGGCCATGGCTCGAAGAGCCGATGCTGAAATTATAAGCACAGGCCTCCACCTCACCAGAATCTCTGTCACTCTCTGAGACAGATGGACAAAGATAAAGGAGTGGAGTTAGAAGCCAGATGCCCGATGGCTTTTATGTCACTGATTGCTGCAGGGCGAGGTGAAGATGGACACTTGTGAAGCAATTCCAATCCCATTTAAGTGGAATATATGCTCCTTTCCCAGCTCAGGAATCAGTGTCTCATTCTTTTCCCAGGTTTTTATTCTCAATTTTCTTTTTTAACCACAACTGTTTGCATTCCTGTCGACTTCTCACCTTCTCTTTCTGTCATTGTGGTTCAGCACATGCATCTTTTGAATGCAGTGCATCTCTCTCTGTCTCTGCTTTCATCGTCTTTCCATCACGGAGGCAGGACGAGTGCAGCAGGATGACAGTGTGTGCGTCCTCTTAAAGCAGTAAAATAAACATCACCACTGTCTGTCACATGCTGTATCCAAGGGTAACATCTCTTTTCTCCAACGATAAGCCGACCAGCTCTTGGATGCAAATGAGACTGGCAGTGCGCGGGTTGCTGAGGCTCAATGTTTTTGTTTCCTCCTGCACAGATGAAACAATATGACGAGGGCGTCTAGAGGGCTTTGTGTGTACGTGTCTGTGAGCGTGTACATATTCATGTTATAATAGCTCAAGGTTGCAGTTCATAAATATTTCTGTAACCCAAAGGTCACAGGTCATAAATTGTGTTTTTTGGAGCACCCACCCTGTTTGTTATCATGTGTTATTATCTCTTTCCTCAAGGTGTGGTATTTCACTACCGGGCCCCTCATGACCGCTACGCTCTGTCCTTCACCGACGCCAAGAGGGTGTGCGTGGAGAACTCTGCAGTCATTGCAACACCAGGCCAGTTGCAGGCTACCTTCGCGGATGGCTACGACAACTGTGATGCCGGTTGGCTGTCTGACCAGACTGTCCGGTAAGGCTCAATTCTCTGGGTACAGGCGCAGCAGGTAGTTCAGAAAGCCAAAGATTAAGTGTGATTCTGTTGGAAGGAGGACACTCTTTGCTATCACTGTGGTTACTAAGGTGATGTAACAGAGTCATACTGTCAGCAATCCTCACAATCAGAGTAAAGACTGATTCTTGAAGAATAGTGTAAGAAAAGACAATGATGAATACTAATTTATTATTAATAGGCGGGAGCGAGTGACTGAGGGGTAGAGCGGTGTCCTCCAATCAGAAGACGGTTCAATCCCAGTGTCCTTGGGCAAGATGCTGAAAAAAAGTGCTGTTAATATGCACTGTATGAATGTTTGTGTGAATGAGTGAATGGAAATAAACTGTACTGTAAAGGGCTTTATAAACCATTTCATTAGTTTTCTGGTCACAAATAAATGTAGCTTCAGCTTGAGCACTTTTAAATGATAAATGTACATCTTGTAATTTATGCAGTACTAACGATGTTTCTGTCATTCGTCATCCAGCAACTAATAAATAAAAATATACATTTTTGAACCATCAGACAAGGCTGTACGTTAACTTCTTTTGTACACAGCATAGGTGCTACAGAGCTGTGTGTGTGTGTGTGTTTGGTGTGCGCCTAACCTACTAACCCTCTCAAAGGAGAGCAACCACGTGGAGTTGTTTGTTGAGGCTTTGTATTAGTTCATTCACTAAGTTTTAATGTCGCTGTCTGAGCTTTACCTGTAGAGAAAACAGGAGGTTGTTCCGTAGCCATTGTGGGATTTGGTGTTAGATGTATAGACTCTGCTCAGACAAGGACAAGGTTTTAACTTGCACAACCGGTTACAGCTACAAAGTAGAATAGCAATGCGTCATCCATTCACCTCGCACACAAGCAAGCACACAAACCCTCACATCACAGTCCACACAAGCAAACGGCCTTGTTTCAAATACACACACAGTCTCAAAACTAGCACGGCAGATTTTTTTGAAGAATAAACAACGTATATATCGCACTGCACAGTCCAGTGGGAGATGCTTTCTTGTATCAAACAGGAAACTTGAGACAAGAACTATTGTCAAGGAAAGTCATTGCGAGACTTGAGTCTGCACGCAAAGCATTTCATATTCTATTGACAACCATTTCTGGCTTTTCTTGACAAAACAGTAATTAACAGTCCTGGAGAGAAGCTGTCACTGTTTGCTGACAGCTCATATTTTTCTCTGTGTAAATTCATTTCGATAGAACATAGTAATAGAAATAAATTGTAAATTCTCTGCACTTCTAAAAATATGTCTTAAAATAGGAACCTGCTGTATTGGGAAGTTTGGCAGCGTGAAAGACAGTTTGATCTTTTTGGAGATTTTATAAAGAGAAACACATAATTGCTTGTTTGCACTACGGAAACACTATAAACTACATTTGCCCTCTCTCTGCTGTCTGTGCGTCTGGGTCCCAACTGTCTTCTCCACATCCACATTTTAATTTCAAATCTCTGTTGCTCCAGAAGCAGACCTACTGCTGTCTTCCCAACAGTGATTCACAACCTTCTCCAGGCATAGCTTCCCTCCCCTCGTTTTCTTTCTCTCCTTCTGTCTTGCGCTCCTGTTGTTTTCACTCTGGAGATTTCTAATTGGTCCAGATCCAGGAGGCTTCGAGGGAAAGTGTCCAATTAAAACAGTGGGAAAAGATACAGACATCAGCCGTTGCTCCATCAGAAATAAAGAGGCTGAACCCAGACTAGGTTCCCTTGCTCTGCTCCGTGGTTTTATGACTCTGTGCAGAAATGCGTGTCTTCTGTGTGTATATTTGACTTTGTCGGTGCATTTGTGAGTGTGTGTACCTGTGTGTTTTCCAAGCACTCTATAAGTCCCTGTATACCCAGCATAATCTTTTAATCAGCTTCTTTGCCTGTGCCCAGGTGCTGCTGGAATCAATGTTCTAGAGCAATAATTGCACAGTCGGAGTCTGAATATAGTAAATCGCTGTTTTGTCGGCCCCACACTGCCAAGCTGCTGACGGAATTCCTGATTCTTTTAACCTCTCCTTGACTCCCTCTCTCTTTCTCTCTCTCTCTCACTTAAGCATTACTGTTATGCTTACGTTGCTAGAGCATTTACCACATTGCAAAAATGCTAATGAAGAGGTATGGTAGGGTATTCATTCTGTTGAACCTCACGATGATTGCAGAATAATTAAAATAAGATACTTTACTTATTGAAGCGTTGTTGTGACGTGTGTGTACCTGACTGTGGCCTTTGTGTCGCACTCAGCGGGGAGATTTATGTGTTCATTTTATTCTTTCAGGGAAATGTATTTGGGTAAACTCTGTGAGGAAGAAATGCTAAAATTCATTGTATTCAGAGGAGGCGATGATAAAAGTTCAGTTTTCATCTTATTCTGTATGCGTGTGAACACAGACTCATCCCCTGGGAGCCAAGTTTCTCTGTGGCTGCCTCTTTCAAGGCCAGGCTATATTAATCTCCCTCTCCCTCCTTTTCTCTCTCGCTTCTATCCGCAGGTATCCCATCCAGTCGCCTCGGCCAGGTTGCTATGGCGACCGCGAGGACTCACCTGGAGTCCGTAACTACGGCAATAGGGCCCCCGATGAGCTGTTTGATGTTTACTGCTTTGCTGAGCAGCTTCAAGGTAGGAGTCGGGACCATAAATTTGGATTTAGTCATGCATGCGCTCACTAAGCTATCGGTGTGCAGCGCAGGAACACTGTGACTGGGGCTTAATACTGTGGTAGCGCTGAAAGGTAGAGGGCAGAGTGAGAGGAAGGGTCAGGGAGTCCCTGGAACTGAAAGGGAGTCGACACTGAGTCCAGCTGACATGTTACGTTCTGCAGGAGTGTTATCCTTATACTATAATGTTTGATTCACTCAAACATTCACCCCTCCTCCTTTGCCCCTCCCCTTAAGAGTGATTACCCTATCATCATCATCTATCTAACATTTCCAAAAATCTCTGTCTGTTTGTGGATTGAATATCTTATTGGCTTCACACATGACTTGTGTATTGTTAAGGGACCAGGGAAGTGCAGTGTTGATTTTGTATGTAGCCATCAAACATGCATTTAAGGCATTCTTACACACTCCCTCAACTAAACTGGAATTATTAAACAGTCAACTAAAGATGGAGTTTTCAACCAACTCATGCAGTATACCTCAATTACCTGACTAACTACAGCAGGGGAAAACTGCTAGTAGCAGTTGTGCTTCCCTAAGCCTAACCCCAGCTCCAGAAATCAGCCAGAAATGAGAAGCCTGATATATAAAACCACCCCACTGTTTCAATAATAATCTGCCACCGCTGTCAATATAAACTGCATCAGGATGGAAAGCTTGACCGGCATAGCACCAGTAATTGGCAGGTTAATTCAAAAAGTGCTGCAGTGAACAGCCAATATGAAAACCCACTTCACCAAATCCAAATTACTTTGAACCCACGTGGAAGATGAGCTTCAAACCTCCTGCTATGTAAGGGAAAGTAAAATCATCATGTAATCTATTTTTGCACATCTAGTCTAGTTCACCATTCAGTTCAAGATGGGGCTGGAACGTACAGTATATTTAATTGACTTATTAGTAAATCGACAGGAAATGAATCATTATAGACTTAATATCTTGCACTAATAGTCATTCAAAACAAAAGAAAAACATTTTTCTGACATGATATTTGAAAAAACGGTCATTTGATCACTATGTACTGGTTCTAAACATGCCTGTGTTCACCCGTTTATTCAAAGTTTTAAGCTGGACCCCAAACTGGAGAATCAGTTGTTGCTGTTGTTGTGTGAACTCACCTGTTGATGTGATGGCGTCACCGAGTCCCAGCAGCTGCTGCTGGTTTATTCAACGCTTATTAATATTGAACGTACCACATGTCCAAATTGCACACCAAATACGACACTGCACTTCCTTGGGCAAGATGTGTGTTCCACAGAGCGATTACTGGAATTATTAAAAAGATATATGAGAGTGTGTATGGTAGATGAGTCAATAAAGTAAAAATGTATTAGTTGCAATCTAAAGATAGGACGGTTTAAAGAGGTTGAAGATAAATTAAACCAACGGCTGGTGGTTGGCTTTTGATAGAATACTGTTGCTATTAGACGTAAATAAGGCAGTCAAATATAGTCCTGCGTTCCCATGTGACGCTCTCTTCTCACTCATACACCACACTCTTGTCATTGTTGTGGTGTGTTTAAGACATCTCTCCTGTACACATTCCTTTGTTTCCCTTTCATAAACCACACATCCATCCCAGCATTCACCTGCAGCCTCGTAGTTTAAATTCCCATGAGGAGAAAACACTCATCATCGGAGTCAGTCCCCGCTGTGCTGAGCTCTGCCTTTCTTTGTGGGGGGTGACGAGACCAGAGCCTCGATATCAACACTGCATGTATTCTACTTACAATCATGCCTGTGTGAAATTTGTTCCCCTTCTGCATATTCCAAAACACAATCATAGACGCAGCAGGTTTTTAACAGCTGCATGGGGTAAATTTGTCCTGGTCACTCGTTATAAAGTGAAACCACCGCAACTGTCATTAAGTGGAACAGTTGTAAAAATATTTATAGATCATATTAAATTACCACCTCTAGAATTTGTATACAGCATCCTGTAATATCATCAAGTGAAATTAACAACCTGATTAAAACATGCAGGAGATCATTATCTGCAATCAAACAGAACTGGAAAGTCTTTCTCCAACCGTTCCAATAAATATTCAGGCATCTTCTAGCTTTAGCCTCACTCCTCACATAATCCCATTCTGCTTCTTTCTCCTTTCTTTGCATTCACAGCTTCACCTGTGACCTTTCACCTCTCCATCTCAGCTCCATAAATCAGTAATGGCTCCTTTTACTCTCCAGAATAAAGCTCCAGGATATTCACATCAGACTCGCTCCTCTGTTCACCACTCCTCATTCACACTGTCCACTCCACCAGCTCATATTTATTTCATCACTCACTGAGTCACTAGTGGATCATCTGACCATATCATTTTATTTGTGCTGTGCAGACACAGTGGTCCTCTCCAGCTCACTCTCTATTTTGCATCACTATGTCATGCACATCGCCACTACCTTTCTTCTTCTGCTTCAATCACTTCTCCGCACTTTCTCCCTGATTGCAACTGTCTTGAATTCAAAGAATTGCCTTTATATATAGTCTCTACTTTGAATTACTCATGATTTTTATTATTATCTTAGGTAAAAATACATTATTCTGATGCATAGCAAGTAAAATGTTTCTTTCATCCCTCTGCTTCAAGTCTCTACCTCTTATTGCTTTGACAAATGATGAAGAAGATTGCTAGAACAGTATTGCATTTAAAGTAAAAGATGTTGTCAGACTCATCTGCGCTCACAATGACAAACAAATGTAACTTAAAGTAGGGATATCACTTTGTACAGCGCGGTACAGAACAATAGTTGAATCAATTCTCAAAATCTGAACCAATTGAAAAAAAGTTCTTAGTCTGACAGCTAAAATCCCTCCTGGCAATCAACCCTTAGCTGAACTCCTCACTCTCTTCCCCTCATTTCTCCCTCCACCTTCTCCTCCCAGGTGAGGTCTTCCACTCCACGATACCTGAGAGGCTGAGCCTGGCCACGGCCTCCACACACTGCCACTCTCTGGGGGCCCAGCTGGCCACCGTCGGGCAGCTCTACCTCGCCTGGCAGGCTGGTGTGGACCAGTGTGACCCCGGCTGGCTGGCAGACGGCAGTGTCCGCTACCCCATCAATGTCCCACGGAAGAACTGCGGCGGGGACGAGCCTGGGGTGCGGACCGTCTACAATAACCCCAACCGCACCGGTTTCCCTGACACCACAGCGCTGTTCGACGCCTACTGCTACCAAGGTACTGCAAGCTCTGTGGTGACAAACTTGTTTTGGTAGTTGATATTGCAACAATACGTGCTCGGAGGAGGTCTGGTAACTCGTTTCTATTCTGGGTTTTTAATTAGTAGAAGATGTTTATGTCACACATGAAGTAGTTGTGAAGAGACTGTGCAACATTTGCATTACCCTCTTGTGGATTTGAGGACTTGGATGTTGTGCGTAGGGAAGAGAGAGAAGAGGGGATGATGGGAAAGAAAAAGAAAAAGATGAGTTTAACTGGGGTTTGAAGTGACTGGTCCTGGTCTGCAGAGGATTTTCATGAGAAATAGCATGTGTCTGACCTTTGATTATTTTTTCCACACCACACCCGTCTGTTCACTATTATTGTATATTTCATAATTTAGCAGACATATCATTTTTGCATATAGAGTATTTTTGTTTTTCCGGCTTTTATTGATTGGAGCGAACCACAGATTGATATTTGAAAATGATATTTTCAGATAGATGGAGAAAAAAAGGAAAGCATGGCGTTTTCATCCCTCACAATGACAGCTTATAAAATTTTCATTGACGCAAGACAATTGCATAGCCCAATATTTTTGAGAAACAAGAGCGGCACAAGAGCGGAGCAGCAGTGTAGCTGTCAAAACAAAGAGCTGATAGATGACACTCATCACACATTTACATTATTATCTAAAATAAATGATATCTTTCAGATAGCTCAAAGTAGATAATATTTGGCAACATGTTTTATTTAGTAACAGAAATTTTGTCTGTGTGAAGGTTGTCAATGTAACCTCATAATGTGACATGAACAACATAAATTCATGTTTTCTCATGTAGTAGAAGAATAACAGCCACATGTGATAAAACTGTCAATCCAAAAACTGTGGAGCAGCTCTGATATTAATATTGTGTTGGGTGGCAATAACAGCTTTACTGTAAAACGAGCAGGGAAAAAAAGTGACGTCACATGCTACATTGTGCAGCAGCACATAAAGCAGAACAAGTGACAAACGATACAAATGTTGGTTTTGGTGAAATGTTGCTGTTGTCTGTTGCAGCACACGAGCCTGCAGGCATCCAAAATGCGGAGGCGCAGGCTTTACACCAGCCCATCAACACAGCAGCACAGGCCACCTCCACCGTCACTGAAGCCCAGCACACTTCCCCTTTCCCCAAGACTTCCACCTGGACCGGTCTGGTCGACCTGGACAAAGCAGGAGTGCGCTCTATCGCTGGGATCAACAACTCCTCTGAGATATCTGCGGAGCACGTCGTCATCCACTTAAGGCCTGAGCTGGGTTGGAAAGACCAACAGGATGGTACGAGAAACAGACAGGAGAATGATCCTCAGAGGAGAAGCAACAGCTTCGGACTTTCTGACCTTGAGAGCACAGAGAGTCATGGAGGCTCTGCCCACGAGGAAGAAGACGGCAGCTTTTTTGGATCTGACAACCCAAGATTATCCTCCACAGCCTCTTCAACTCCACAGCCTCAAACCACTAACAGTGTGCTGACTAAGTTTGTGAACACTCTTATGAAACCCTTTAGGAACTGGACTGGAGGTGGGGAGGGTGAGGAGAGGGAGAAGGAGAAGGAACTTTCGGTGCCTGAGGAAAACGTAGGAGAAAACCAGACGCAGGGTGCCGCATCCAGCAGAAACCTCAGTGTGCCCAAAGCAGTCAGAAACAAGGGCAACGTAGACAACGCCATCATGGAGCAGAGGAGCAGTGGTTTTTCCTTCAGGGCTCCTGCCAGTCGGCAGTCGAGTACAGCAGAAGGTCTGTCTGAGCAGGAGAGAGAAGTGATGCCAATGTTTCGATTAGTACCTGCATTCAAAATGACAGAGCAAAGCGAGACCAGCACCCAGGCAGGAGAACGAGTCTCCAGCACATCTGCAGACGCCCCTCTGTCCACCGCTAATGGTAAGAGCCCAACAGTAATATTTCACCTCTAACCTTTAAAACAAATAAAATACAAATTGAAACAAGGGTGAATTGAAACTGATTAATTCCAAATTGAGTCGTGGTGTATTTAAATGTTGGTAAATATAGGATCTTTTTATGTTGTGGTTTTTAAAAGGTCTCTGTCTCTCCATTCCACTCTCTCCTCTTTTTCCTCTGAGTATAGTGTAATATATTCTTCCACAGGGCAATTTGAAGTATCGCTGTAAATTAAATTAAACAGGAATTGCAAACTAACAAAAAGGGCATAGCACGTACAGTGGTGCACAGTGTAGTAGTGGAGCTTGAATATTAATCAGTCTTGATTTTATTAAAGGTTAGCTCACATATGTGTTTATTGAAAAGCAAACCTGCATCAATAATTCTAGCTTATTTTTAGGTGTCAATGATATGCGTGTCCTTGTGCATTTTATATGATACATATCATATCATGAGTGAACTAAGCAGTAAACACCATGGCGAAGTACTTCCACCTTGGAACTGCAGTGTTTTATTGACATCCTTGAAAAAACTATTCAGACAGGCAGTACATTTCACTCAATATAAAGAACCAATCATCAACTTGTGAGGTGGCGCTTTCTGTGTTATATCGCTAGTGCATTCCTCTGATGCACCTTGTTCCGCCATAGCATTATGAAGATTGTCAGCCACACACTGTTTATAAAACTGAAGTATCCCCGATACGAACGCTGCAATCTTGCGCATTTGGAACCAGAGTCTGTGCATTAGCAATTCGGGGATGGAGCCGCGCTAGGGTGGTCCATTCGATACACTCTACCAATAAGTCAAAATACCAGACAAAATTAGGTTTTGAAAAAACATCAGTGACATGAACTACCTAAAATTACTGAAATAATCTTTGAGAAAAATTGATTTCTCAAAGATTATTTTGCTTTGGCCTCACTTTTGGGGAGTGGTCAGCTCGACTATCTTTATACTCAGTCAATGGTTGTTGCTAGTTATTGGTATTAGGCTCTCAGTTAGCTGAGGAAGTCTTTGGTCTCTTAAAGGTTGGTTTTCTGGTTTGTGCATGTAATCCTGAATTACTCACCATTGTGTACTGTAGAATAACTCAGAAAACAAGCAGAGGTTTGTGTGTTTGATGAGCAGAGTCGCTGCAGGTGAGCAGCTGAGGGGTGGGTGAAGATAGACCCTAACCCTACATTAGTAGTTTTCAGAAGCAGCAATGAGCTTCAGGCGTTGGATCAATGCTAGAAAATGAACTTGAAGGACTGCTGAGACACAGAGAAACTTGTGTTCCCTGTTAGGGAAGAGAATTGTTGTTATTTTAAGTGTGTGTGTACGTGCAAACTGCATGTGTATGTGTTTACACCCTGTCAGACAGGTAACCTCTTGCAAAGCTCGAAGAGGAGGAGTCGTGCATTGTACCACCAGCAAGGTTAGAAAAGGTTAGCTCATGGCTTATTGAAAACACCCTGGTTCCAAACCCCCAAATCACTTCCTCTAGTTTATAAGTTCAGGGATAAAGGTGGACTAAAGCATAGAGGAACGACTCATGGCTGGAAGGATCCTGGACCAATAACCAAGGGAGCATGGCACATTTATACCATGTTACAACTCGGGGAAAAAATACACCAGACAGAAACCAAAAAGAATGTCTATCACGCCCTTGGGTGGAAAAAGGTAGTTTTCTTTTAATAGCCACCACAAATAACACATTGTTGGCATCAGCGAAAAGGGGAGGATACAAAGTAAGACTTACACTCTCCCACAGACAGCCAGAAGAATTCAATAAAGCTGCTCAGCTTTTTCACCTATAGCAATTGCAGGCTTTATTAATATAAATACTCACTGCTGTNCCGAGGTATTAAAGAAAACCCAAGCTTTAGTCAGTATGTATTATTCACAACCGTATCCAATTAACGTGGAGGTTGGGCTGCTCTGCCGTTCCCCCTCACCTCCATCTTTGTCTCTGGCAATTAAGGCCCGGTTCTCTGAAGGTAGGCTACACTAATGATCACTACAGCAAGGATGAGCAGCACAAGAGGGGGATGAGTTGACCAAGGAAGAGGGAAGAAAGGTGCAGAGGAGGAGATGATTCTGTGTTTAATGTTGCCTTGATGGAAAGCTGCCCAACTGATTTCTCTTCTTAAACCAGCATCCATGAGCTGAATTAACTCTGTTATAAACATTTCATTCTTACAATAACTTTAATGCTCAGTCATTTATTGTGCCATGTCTCCTTGTTGATGAAGTACATCCGAAACAGAGTGGATTTTAAATATTCAAAAGATCAAACTATTAAAAAAATTGGAAGAGTTTCTGAACTAACGGCCATAGGTTTAGGCGTTTTTTTGGTATATTATTAAATATTAAGTATATATATATATATAAATCGTCTTCAACCCAGTCTTGGTGGGACTAAAAGCATTTAAATCGATTTTGAGTTCCATTTTACTGATTTACTTTCTTTGTTTTTTTTTTCCTTATTGGTTTCTTAAATATTTTCGGTCTAAAAGCCATGAATGTAAACCTCTCCCATGTGCAGAGGAGCTGCCCGCTGTCATGAGCACCCCAAATGACTGAACCACATTGATTTATAGATTTTTTCTTTTAATGGTCCACTGGCTCACCCCACCCATGAGGCAACCCCCTCTCGCTGTGCTCTCGATGGCCATTCCGACTATGATTCAAAACAATCACTCAAAATCAGCGGTGGGAGGAGGCAGAACGGACAACATTAATTTGTTCACAAACTTTTCTAACAAAAAAGGTCCTGGATCCAGACTGTAAATAAAGATGGAAGACATGTCTCCTCATCCTCCCTCCAGAAATGAAGCCAAAAAATCCCGGATACAAACGCTGCCATCTTGCATACTCTGCGCCATGACCAATTACAAGTCAGTCTTAGCTGTCAATCAAGAAGTTTCAACCAATCATTATAGCTTGGAAAAATGAGCACTTGAACAAACATCAGTGTGATGAGAACTACTGAAAATGACATAAACATCATAATCAATCATCATTAGGTTGGTCCATGTTACATTTACTAACATGGAGGAGGCAGGGTTTATGAACTATGCTGCTGCAAGCCACCAGGTGGTGATGAAGACGCGTTGGCTGAAGGGAGCTGGCATGTCGTCCATATTTATAAACAGTCTGGATACAATCTCTTGTCAGGTCCTGCTAAATATTAAGCCCTGACCATAACATAGTCAGTACTAGATGAGAGTTTACATTATATGTCAAATTTGGACTTTAAACCCTTGTGGCTGAAATGAGTATTACAATAAAAAACTACCAAAAAAATTAATTCAGTAATTTCTGCTGCAAACCAAAATATTTTCATATGAAAACAATATTTTCTCATGTTCCTGCTATAGTGGTCTATAGTGGTCTTCTTGTCTATCCCACACACTTTGGAGTGTGTGTGTGCGCTGACTCTCCGTGTAGATGCTCCTGACATGATTCACGCAGCCATGCAATAACTTCTGCTCAGTGTTTTTTTTTATTGGATTGCATATCTGCAGATGGGCAGAGGTGGCATTGTCTCTCTCATTCTTTCTGTCTCTCTCGTTGTCAGCCTCTGCTCCCACAATTTAATAAAATGACTGTGTGACTGGAGGGATTCTCTAGGCTCGTTTACTTCAGTAAAGTGGAGTCAACACAGCAGAACCACTCACAGTGGAGGCACAAAATGACTGTCTGAATGGGGTTTATTATGAGTTTGTTTGTGTTTGTTTGTGGTTTTTCCAGCAAGCCTTCGCCCAAACAGATTTACAGCAGTGGAGATGAACTTTAACCGCGCTCTGAGTAGCCCCATGAAATCATCCAAGCCGATGCCTAATTGTCTCATTTTATTTATTACATGGGTCATTACATAGATGATCAAACCAGATTAATGTGTTTAATTACTCTCACTTTCGTCCGTGTGTGTAGTAAAAGTATGTAATTAGCTATTTGGATTATTAATAGCACAATTACACTAGGCTACATGGCTCTTATGGAAATGAACCTCAGGCTCATAAACCTCACTTAGGCATGAGGCAACAGCAGACCTAATGAATAATTTACATAGATTTTAATATTTGATGCATAGACATATTTGTATATGTTCTCCCTCTCGTGGTAATTTGTTGTGCTGCGTTGTGTTGCACCCGCTTCGCTGTGTTGCTGTGCTTTTAAGACATGTTAACGGAACTGAGGAAAGCCAAACCATGCTGAGCGATGACGCTATACGGGCCTTTCAGTTACACCGCTGTACTGCGAGTCACACATACAGTCGCGATGAATTATTGATGGTGTGGACAGAGTCTGGTTTAATGTAAGCTGATAACCACTTCATCTAAATAAACATGTCTAGCTGGAGCTCGTTGCAGAGCGAGTTTTTCACTGATCGAGTTGAAAGTGTTCCTGTGTTTTTCCACGTGGCTTCTCTCGCCACAGGCAAGTGCACCCAGCAGGTTATTTTGGGTAAAAGAATCCACACGGAAAGAAGGAGAAAACAGGGACAGAGAAGTGTGAAATTACTTTGAATACATCTCTCCATCCGTTTGGTGTGTGTGTGTTCATAGGCCTCTCTATTTGTCTACAAACTCCAACAACTTCAGTCCCCACTCTGAGCTGAGCCACTGGTGAGGAACGAAGCTCACAATATCCAACTTACTGTAAATAAAAATTCACAGCTACAGTTTCAGTTCTCTACAAATAAACAACCAAGAAAGTTTAGATGATCTCCCAATTGCATTTTAAAGTCTTTAAACTACATTTTGAAAGACTTCAAAATTCTCTCCATATACAACACATCGTACAGTACAGGCTGATGAGAGAGTGGTTGTTTTAATACATAAAATAGCAGCACTTTATTAATTCAACTGTAAATGCCCTGCATCTCATCTCTGATATTTTAGTGAGCGATTGCAAGAATGAGTAAAAATTGCATGGCCACTGAAAGAAATTTGAAATTCAAGAGCTTCCTTGGAAAATCAAAGACTAAGAAAGTTATATTGTTGAGGTCAAGAACTCTTTTTGTTTGATCTGGGCTCACCATTGTGAAACAGAATTCTCTTTGTGTGCAGAAGATGAGGTGGTTAAAGTCTTTCGAGCATTTCTAAATGTTTGAGGAAATCTTGTGGAATCAGATTTTGGCCTTGCTGATTCAGTGTTAAGACCCACAGCAGGAACTGAAAACATGTTTTTACATTTAACATGAATTCTTTCTATATTTACACTCTAATTACTAGTTTGAAGTGGACGGATCACAAGCCAGTTTTAGGGTTAATTGTTTAGTGTCGCCAGGCAACTGGCAACCAAATCTAATCAATTCACACCCACACAGTCCTGAGGGAGCAGATTAACTGAGTTTGAGTGTTATATTTTTGCTAAACAATATCTAAAGGTCTCTTTTACTAACTTTGATTGTTGCTAATTTAAACATGAAGTTGCAGAGGAGAAGACAGATATTTGTCATTAAGTGATCTGGGTCTTTAAACCCTGTTGTGTTTTTGTTTGTTTGACTTTTGCATTGTTAAATGTTTGGCCCTTTAGAAGGATTGAATAGTTACGGTTGTATTTATATATGTCTATGTATGAAAATGAATTAAAGTGTGTGTACAATCATGTATATGATATATATAAATATATATGTCCTTTACATGCAAATGCTCATATTTAGTAGTTGACTGTGACTATGAATGTTAATAACTCAAACTCACATTCATGACAAGTTGGGACACAGTCCCAAAGGATGTGGTCTTAATTTCTACACACTGTCTGCTCCCAGTTGATTAATTTCATTATCCTAAACAGAAACTTGTTTGCTGTTTGCACAGATAAAAAGAGCACCCAAAACAAATTACGGACATAGTCCACACGTGACTAAAAACCCATATCAGTGAATAAACACCGCACCATGCTCATCCTGGTAAATGCAGCAGACTCTAGTCCAGGATAAGGATACCATTTCATGTTCCCATAATACCTCTGAAACTCTACTCCCTATGTGTGTGCCATTTGGCTCATGTAAGCCAGGCTCAATTTTTTAATTGCTTTTTCCAAATCCATAAAATGAAATCCTCCTCCCCCCCAATAATCGAATCCTATGACTTAGTCTCTTCTGTCCCTTTATTCCCTGTAGAATTCACCGCATCAAGACCCAATGAGGGATCACCTCCCAGTGGACATGTCAACATATCCGTCCCTCAGGGACCCAGAGGAGTTCCAGCTTTTGCTCCAGACCCCAGCAGCCACTTTCAGTGGGCCATTGAGTCAAGGCGTGATTCTAAAGCAGGACCCCATGGAAATGTGGCCTATGTGGGTAAAAATCCAACCTGGGGGCCCATGGAAGCCAAAGCAGGGCCCCTTGAGGTTATGACCCTTCCCACCTCCCTCCGACAGGACAACCAAGAAAATTATTCGGGCGAGGGGAGGGATAAGGACGAAGAAGAAGCCACAGCTCCATCAGCTGGTCGAACAGTGTCAGGGGAGGAGAAGGAGATGGAGGGGAGCGGAGAGGGGAGCAGGTTTCCTGGTGGGTTTGGAGTGAAAGTCAACAATATGGGCACCGGTGGTGTCGAACCGAGCCTTGAAACAGATTCCTCGCTAAGCCAGAGTGAGCCTGTGACTGTGTCTGAGCTCACCACCCTGTCCCAGTGGCAGCTAGTGGATCAGCCCACCACCTCACCTCATTCTCAGAAGACAGACACAGCAGAGGAGGCCATAGGGGGGGTGTTCTACGTCCGCCGACCCACTGAAAACCTCTTCTCAGCCTCCTCACACAGAGGGAAAGATACGTCAAACTCAGGATTCACTCCTGTGTTTAGGAAGAATAGCAAAGACACACGCAGAGAGGAGTTGGTGACTTCAACACCCGAGGCCCTGATGGAGGTGCTGACAACCTCTGCGGTGACCACGCCGGAACTTCTGATGACCAGACACACACAGAGGACAGATCCTATAATCACAGACAATCCCTCTCACAGCTCCCCAACAGAGGAGCCATCCATTTCTATTTCATGGGTTCAGGAGGACAAAACAAGTAAACCCAACATTCAGGAAGATCCAGCCACTCCAGCACCTAGTATGGGATCTCAAACGACTGCAGGAGTCCTTCAGTTGACCACTCTTGTATCCGACTCCAAAGTTGGCGCCACAGAAATGGAATCCAGGTCTGCAGTGTCTGAATCTTTCATCGTGGGCAGTCGTTGGACACCTTTCAAAGGCGTGGGCCAAAAATCAGAGGAACACAAGGCCAAGGAGACGACAGACAAGAAAGACAGAGGCAACCCTTTCGGCATTCTCATACCCAACTGGGCCTTTGGTCTCATCCCGTCAGGTACGTGAGCTCCCCGGTGTTCCAGATGAATGAACCTCACTGTCATCATTATCGTCATGATTATGAGCAATCATCTAATCAGCAGCAATTTATTGAATTATGTATGCAGCTTAGTGAGAGCCAGAAAAAAATCCCTCACGTCAGGGCCACGCTGCGGTGACATACGGCACAGTAACAGCAGTATGTTAACACCGCTGCATACCCTCCACCCGAGTTCACAGCCTGTGCTCAGTTATACTTTAAATACACCTCTATTTCCTTACTCGCCCTGTCTCCTGTTGTTCCATTCTACATCTCCCCCCTCGCTCTGCCTCTCTGACAGATGTCATGCATTCTTAATCCAGGCCTGTTCTTTCTTCTTTGCACTCGCATCCCCTTTCTCTCTCCATCCCTGTCCCATCATGTTGGTGTGGAGGCAGAGCCACGCAGTGAGCCAGTGCACTGAGGTGAGACCAACTAGGTCTTAGTGAAGTAATTAGTGGGTCACAGCCAGTGCAATTAGGTGAACCTGGGGAGAGCCAGAGATCCTGGTCCCCAACAAATCAATGTAGACACAAACTACAAGATGGAGCTCGTAATTGACTGCAGTCTCTCTTTTTTCTAGTTTGTCCATGTTCAGCTCCACATTCCTTTTTCTCTCACTCTATCCCTGAACTTGTTGTACGTAATAAATATCTGTGTCTGTGCCGTTGGTCCTAGAACGCTTGCATTGATTTCTTTTGATAGTGAATTGACTTTCCACTGTGGCAGAACTTCACAAAGTGAATTAACATAACAAAAGCTGTAAACCCAGGGCCACTCGTCTCCTTCTCATCTAAATTTGTGATCTTACCAACCCAATTTTGTTTGCTTACTGATAAATGTGCCTGTCTTTGAAGACAGTAATGCTTAATATTGTGTGTTATTGCTACACTAACACTCATTCATCCTCAGCCCAGTGTTTGTGTTTTTTTCTGGGGTTTTGAAAATACATGTTTACAAGGTATACCTCAAATCATGAGTCATCCTGCTCAGTTAAGTGGATTAATCAGTGCATCAGAGACCTTCTCCTTGGAACATTCAACACTGGATTGGATTCTTTTCATGTCATTCAGAAGCGCGCTCCACCAGTTGTGACCATTTTCAATGTAGTGCTTCATTCTCAGAGGAACCTTCTGTGGGTGGGTGATGTTTACAGGGGACTGTGAAAACGCTGGGGACATTGAGTTTTTAATTGAAAACACAGCAGCAAACCAATAACGGTGCAAAACCTCCACATGATTCCATTTTCTTTGCTTGGGATGGTTCAGTCATTTCATTCAGTGAACATGTAAGACCTTGATTTCCCTAAAAAAAAGGAGCTTTTTGTATTATGTAATTAAAGTTCAAGCTCACAAGTACAAGAGTACTTATTTGTCTTCAACAGTATTTCTGATCCACTGACATTTGAATGGTGTGAGTGGGCCGTGCTCTTGTTGAGTCATTAGAGGGATAAGACCCCTCCCTGTGTGTGACCTTTTGTAGTTGTCAGTTATAGTACAGGGAAAATTACAGCAATGGGTTGTCTGCCCATTTCAGCTGAGAGATAGAGACAGAGAGGAGGGAAAGGGCAGGAGGATGGACAGGAGAGGAAGATCAGGGGGAGGGGGTTAGAGGAAGAGAGGTGAGAGTGTCCTCCACAAAGTGTGGGTAGGAGTACATAAACCTCTTTAATCGATGATCAGAGACTTCACTAACACAGTCCCATGGGCCTCCAGAGAGCACATCGTCCCTCCTCGTCTTTTTTTTCTTCTTCCTCCTTTCCTTCCCCTTTCTTGCCTTTCCTTTTATTTCATGTCCTGTCCTTTCCTTTCCTTCTTGTACTCTTCTGTCCTGTTCTCACCTCTCCTCTCGTCTTACTCTCCTCTCCTTCTTTCTTTACGTCTTACTTGCCCATATATCAGAGTGATTAGACACTGGTTTTTAAAGCCACATCCAGATTTTCCAATTCATCAGTCACTCTGACCTCCAATTAAAAACCCACACAGATGGGTGGACATTCACACACATAAAAATTGAATATATGGGAAGAAACAGCAGCACAGAAATCTCACTCAGAAGTAAACCTTGATAATCCATCCCACATGTTGCATCACATACACACAGAATGTCTTAATCCTCCAGCTATGAATATTGAGAGAAAGTAAACACATTGCAGTCTATTTATTTATTTTTTTACCCATATCTCCATTTCCATATTGGATAATCCTAACAACAGCATAGAGATTTACAGTGTGTCTTTGGAGCACTGGCAGGCAAACCAAGTCAGGCGGATACAGTGATGTCAGCTGTCCGTCCGGCCTCTAAATGACTAGTGCCCGTCTGATACTCTGGCAAACAGGGTGCCGGACAACTCTGAGTTATAACCACCTCGACTCAAGCCTTGTCTGTGACTCAAGATGGATCAGACCTCTGGCAACATCAATAACACTGCAGCCAGCCCTCAACCAAATGAGAGTGTTAAATTTGGAGAAGAGACAGTAGGTTGGTGTGTGTGTGTGTGTGTGTGTGTGTGTGTGTGTGTGTGTGCGTGCGTGCGTGCGTGCGTGCGTGCGTGCGTGCGTGCGTGCGTGCGTGCGTGCGTGTGCATATGTGTGGAAGACGAGGAGATAAATGGACCCAGGCCTAGGCTGGGGTGGCGTATCATCAGTATGGGTCTGTGGTTAGATTCAGTTTGTCTGCTGGCTGTCAGAGTCTTCGGATAGGTTGTCTGGAGCAGTGAGAGGGCACATCCTCAACGCTGCATAGAAGTCAATTGATTTTCCAGCCTCTCCCTCCTGGTGTCTCCCATCTTTTCTTTCCTGCTCTATCCTTCTTCCTCTTTCTTCCACTTGCTTTTTTATCCATCGCCCTCACTCCCTCGCCATATCCCTGACTTTATGTCTTTTATTACTCCTCTGGTCACTGTTATGAGACTCCCTGGCATAATGTTTTCATAGCTTCTTGAACTCCAATGTGATACAGCAGAAGGCAGTCACTTGCGGTCTAAGTGCATCTGTCCCCCGTAGGATCCTCAGCCTCAGCAGGATCCTTGTCACCTCCTTTTAAATCCTAATCTGTCCCACTCCCATCTTCTTCTCATCTCCAACTTTCCATTCTTTCTTTCTTTTTATGGTGTAATTCAACCATTTTCCCATATCAAACCCTGCTGCTGAATCTAATCCTGTGCTATTGGCTGCTGCTTATTAAATGAATGGGATTTGTTAAAGAAAAGCCTTGAGGGACGCTGGGCTCCATCGCTGTGTGGGTTGAAGCTGCGTTACACATGGCTCTGTGCTGACTGAGCAGAGGCTCTTTGTATCCTATTAACCAGGGAAATAATGAAGCAGCTGATGTGGTGAGAATGAGCTGAAGTAAGAGGTGGTGAGAAATCCAGTCCCTCCAGGATGTTGAGCTAGAAACAGTTAACGAAAACTCAACCGATCCTCCTGACCTTCAGTGTGACCTTGCAACTTTGCCCAATTACCAAAACTTTCTTCACACATCTGACCAATCACTGCAGTTCCTCACATGTGTCACTGATCATAGCAACAGCCCATTCAAAACATTGAGCTGTACATCACTAAAACCACTGTCCTGTGTTTAAACTCATAGAGATCAGATTACTCCTAAAGCGTTTCACAGTCAATACCCTTGTGTCCTGCACGAAAGCAGGGGTTCATTTTATTATGCTGCGTGCAACGTTGTAGTGCAACACAAAACAAAACTGATTTTCAAACTCTACTGCAAAACATATCACCCTGAATATACATACATATGACAAATCAGGGTGATACAAGTTGTATCATCCCGAATGCTTGCGTGCGTGGTTTTGTTCAGGATGTCTGTAACCCTAAACCATGACAGCTAAGTCACTTACCGGAAAGATTTTTTTATAGTGAAACAAGTTCCCTGGGTTTTTTAAGGAATTATACAAAAAAGAAAAATAATTTTTCACAATTGTCACTTACTCCCAAGATTTAATAATAACTCTTTGTAAAAATGTTGCTGTGAGATCACACACATAGAACATGTATTTTTTTTATCTGCATAAATACTAAGATTAATAATTAGTAGTAGTTGTAGTAGTAGAAAAAATTATAACTAAAACTAATCATGGAGAGAAAAACAGAAATGAATAAGAATGAAGAGATTTAGACAGAGCACAGAACCCCAAATTTGATATGTTGAATTTCATCTCATAGCCAACAAGAGATTTTCTCACACATGATTGTGAGCTCAACAGCTCATGATGCACGTCCGTCACTAGAAAAATTCAAGAGCCGAGATTGGAAAGGTCATTGAACATTAGCGCGAGGGCTGATAGGAAAGGCAAATACTTGCTGGTTTTTAAAGTGCAATTTAAATTGTTGATGTAAAACACAGAGTGATTTAACAGGCCTAATTGGATGAGGAAGTTTCTGAACAGGAGGCTCAAACAAAATATCTGCTCAGTGACATTTTGGGGATGGAAAAGTGTTGATTTACTCGTCAAAGTCAATGAAACAAACAGCAACGTCTGTAAAGTTAATGCAGCATCGAAATGTGAGTTTAATATTGTGCAGTGAGCCTGAACAAACATGTGAAAAGCTGTCTTAAACAGATATTTTTATGGCTTCATAAAATTGCTTTATTATGTTTGCTGTCACAACAAAACCTGGTGATTATTCAGCCTCCACGAGATCATCACAGGCAGATGTATTTTATTTTACACATCCTATGACCCATAGCTCCCATTATGGCAGATGAATGACTGAGTCTCTTGACTGTTACTGGCAGCAGATCTGCAGCAGGATTAAAAAACCGAGTTGTGTTTTCAATATTTTCTCTTCTTACCGTTGTCCTCTTAAAGATCAGTTGTTGTTCTGTTAATTTCAGTAGCCCAGAAACAATGGACACTTTCCCTGGGCACAGCATATGCTTCTTAATCATGCCTTTGTTTTATCACTTCACTGCCTTAAGCTCACATATATCTAGAAAGCATTGTTGTGAGAGAAGATTTT